GAAACGTTGTTTCTGGCATATGAATATCTCCCCTCAGAGGCAACCACGCCACTGCCCATTAAAGAGATGGAGGATCTGATAGAATACTGCCTGAGCCAGAAGTTTGAGCTGATAATAGATTACGACTCAAATGCTGATCACTCCAGTTGGGGGCAGTAAGGAAAACAGCGCTAGAGGTAAGTCACTTTATATTATATAACTAGCAAAAATCTTTGTACTACAAATATAGGTACTACACCAACATTTTTATACTCTCGCAGTCAAACACTAATAGATATCACTTTATCCACAACTGGTACCTATAAATCAATTCTACACTGGCAAGTGTCTGATAACATTTCGATGTCAGACCACCGCTGAATAACATTCAAAATAAATTTGATGTTGCCGACCTCCACGCTATCTAGAAACTCTAGAAAGACGGACAGGGCAACCTATGCCCACCTTCTCCAAGAGGCTCTGAGAGAGGTGGATGCCAAAACACCAAACAATAACAATACTTTGGACAAGTACTCAAACTCTATCTAAAGCACAATAAATAATGCATATTAGAAATCCTGTCCCCTGAGGCTGGTCCAACACGACCAGACGACCGCATGGTGGTGCCACGAAGATAACTGGGAAAACCTTAAATAAGACAAGGACCACAAAACTCAAAGAGGACTGGGATACTTACAAATCTCACCTCAGAAAATACAAAAAAAATCGTTATACAAAAGCAGCGAGATGCATGGAGATTTAACTGCAAAAAAATCCAAGATTTCTCGTAAGCAATGAGGCTTCAAAAAGCTCTCTCAAAAGATCACACCGCAACATTGGTTAGCTAATCAAAGAGGATGGCACAAAAACTGCCAACATCGAACATTAAACTTCTGCTATCAATTCACTTTTCTGACCCGGTTATCACAGACGTGGCCGTCTGGGCAGGGGAAGAATATAATCCATCTGTCTACGATTGGCAAACTACCAAATACATTGTAGACGATGACAAAATTAAAATAGGCTATATCCAGCTTCTCTCCATCTCACGCCGCACCTGGTAGTTATATTCAAATCCTCGTTGACTCTGAGATGTATCTTCAAAAAACGGAAAAAGGTAAAAGTGGTATTCATATACAAACCTGGAAGGATGGATTACACTGTCGCAAAAAATATACTGACCAATTAGTCTGACATCGTTTTCCATCAAGACTTTGGAAAGGCTATGCGAAAGCCACATAAGCAATGCGGTGATTACAACAACACCACTACACCCAAACTATAATGCATACACCCTAGGTAGATCTACTAATTTAGACCTTCATCTAGTTGCTGGCCAGATAGAGACAAAGGCTATGCGAAAGGTACTTAAGGGTTGCGGTGACAACAACAACAACAACAACAACAACAACAACAACAACAACAACAACAACAACAACAACAACAACAACAACAACAACAACAACAACAACAACAACAACAACAACAACATTACACCCAAATCAACATGTATACACTTCAGACAAATCTACTAATTCAGCCCTTTACCTAGTTGGTGGATGGATAGAGAGATCCAAGAAGTTCGCGTTGAGTGTTTTCATAGACATAGAAGGTGCTTTTAATAAAACCACTTTCCTTGCGATAATACACTCACAAACCAGCTCCACAGATGGTTATTAGGTGGATACATAACATAACGTCAATGCGAGGAGTAAAAGATGTGAATATAAGAGGCTTGGTTACGAAGGGATAGCTATAGGAAAGGTAATGACAGTCACTACACAATAGCATATGCTGATGACCTGGCTTTTCTATTGGCCTGACAAAATCGGTAGAACATTCTCGTGTGAAATTCAAGGAAAGATGGAATGAAACAAGCAACTGCAGAGTTGCCAGGAAGCTCTTAAGTTATCCTGACAATACTACACCAAAATAATACTTGACTGTGACAGAATCTGCGCTTAGTCACAGGCATTCTGACTTGTCATTGGCAAGTATGGAAGCATCTCCATGTCATGGAGCTGTCAGAATCCGTACTTTGCAGGGTGTGTGAACAAGAAAATAAGACCATCGAGCATATCCTCTACGATTGCCAGACGCTCTCATTTTTTACGAGATTTGTGTTCGGCAAGTATCGGCTAACACCGGCCGATATAAGAGAAGCACCTCTAGGCAACGTTCTCCACTACATTAAATCGGGTCCCAGACAATTGTTCGAATGCATTTGAATGTTTTTGATCGAATATCATTCGATCAAAAACATTTTTATCGAATTTTAGAAATATCGTAGGCAAAAGATCGAATATCAATTGATCGAAATGCAGAGATCGAAATATCAATTGATCAAAAAGCAAGAGATCAAAATAGCAAATGATCGAAAAAGCAAATGATCGAATAGCAAGGGAGTGAAAATTATTTAAAAGTATTTCATAAATGTATGAAATTGTCGAACGAACAGATCTAAAAATATTGATGTTAAACGAAACGCACGTAGTTACTTAAATATAAATTGAAACTTTAAATAATATAGAAAGTTATAAATTTTATAAATATTAACATATAACTATTTTAATTTAATAAAATGGCTCTATAGGGCGAAATACGGTTAAACGAAATAGCGCGTTTCAAAATGGCGCTAGTGTTTTTACAAAAATTTATTAAACTAATTTACCTAACCTATGTGGCTTATAGTCATCGCTGGTTACTTAGCAAATAATTATACATACAATGAGAAAAATAAAAAAAGTTAACTAATTTACCCAATCTGTGCGGCCCTGGGCCATTTAAATTTAAATGATCGTTCTCCCACAGGTTAGGTAAATTGTTTTTTTTTTTTATTTTTGGCGAATAAGCCCGTGATGACTCCATGCCACACAGGTTAAGTAAATTAGTTTATTTTTTTTTTTTCAATAATTTTATGTCAATTTTTTGGCCCTATTTTGACTGACACTATTTTAAAAAGTGCTGTTTCGTTTAGGAGCTTTTCAAATACGCGTTACATCTTACAACTTACATTACATCTTCTAAGGCAAACATTAAATTGTTTCATTGTATTCGCCGATGTAGAGGACACTATAGCTTCTAGGCCTGTGGATGGGTAATTTTTCTTTGGGAAGGGCTGGCTGATAAAATCTCTACCTTCAGGGTAAGGTTTTTCAAAATAGGATTTGGATCCCTGAAACGCGATAATAATATATTCCGTTCTGGTTTTAAAAGGAAAGACGCATATTTTAAGAGTCTTTTGAATAGAGAGTACCAAGTCTGATCTGGCCATTGAGGAACCACTACTATACCCTCTACTTTATCATCGATACTTTATTATGACTTTAGGAAGTAAACAGAAAAGTGAAAAAATATAAAAATTTAACCAAATCATTTTATATACATACATCCATATTTGATCGCAAGACAGAAAGATACTAGCGTGCCAATAAAACGGCTATTTTCTAAATTGAACATCTATTTCTATTTAATAAAGACATCATGAGACCTCGGATTTTCTCTTCTTTTCTCCCTGGTAACGATATTGTCATGTTAACAGAATTGAATACAAATTCCAAATATTAACGTATGTTAAAGGGAATAATCTTACTCTTCTTAAAATTATCTTTCGAACCTAATCTTGTCAAAGGAGATATGGTCTCCTTAATGTGTACAATGCACTCAGATAAAGAAGAGGCAGTTTTAGTGAAATTGTCCAGATAAGTTAAACAGATAATGCCATTTATTCTTAAAATTCTCAAAACTGGTTTGATCAGTTTTGTGAAACAAATGGAGCAATGATAATATCAAAAGGAAGACAATTAAATTTAAATAATTTACCTCTATGATTAAATCTAAGAAATTTTCTAAATTTACTTTGAATTTAAATACGAAAATAAGCCTCTTTAAGGTCTATTATTGTGGTCATACGTAATTTTAGAATATAATTCTTCACACAATACAGTAGTCATATATCTTAAAATGTGGAGGTTCAATATATTAATTTAAACATTTCAACAAGTATGAGGAAAGAAATTGGTCAACTGCAGGATTACTAATGGCACCTGATTTTAATATTTTCCCTACTTCAGTATCAACTAGCTTAAGTTCTTCGTCGGACAATACAAAAGTCCGTGGGAAATATTGTAATTGAGAGTTTTAAAATTAATTTGGACCCCTGGAATCTAATTTGGAATTGTATAATTACTGGTAATTTTTAACAAAAGCTTAAAAATTTAGGTAAATGTCCAGCAGATGAGCTTTTATTAACCTCTAAGGCCTTCAATAATGATGGCTTCCGAGGTTCCTCTCCCTCAGTTCTTTTGGTGGAGTTATTTTCTTCCTCTTGCGTGACATTGGCTTGAAGTTCTGACTCTCGTATTCTCCTCTTAATCCTTATTTGTTTACACTTTTCTTCATTTGCAGAAAGGTTTTTAGATTTTCAAATAACTACTAAAAAGCCATCCGTCTATTGACTTCTTGAGTGACGGGTTGAGTTGTGAAACAGTTAAAAATCGGCGGTGTAAGGACACTGTATGAAAAGAATCAGTTAATAAACGTGCTGAATCTGCCAATGCTGAAAGCCAAGCATTCCATTCCTCATTTGGTTCAGAAAAGAAAATATTCAATGGTCCTGCCAGTACTGATATGCCTCTACCCAACTGATCTTGAATTTTGTACAAGAAATTATCTTGCTTCAGTAATACATTTTTGAATTTCCAAGTTCAGCTTAGGGGCTACTAACCCTTAACAATTTAGGATTACGGGATATTTCTCCAACAGAATTCGTTTCTCTCAATACTGATAGACCATGATAGATGGCAATTCATGTGAATGCCTTGTGTTTCTTCAGCAACTTATGCGAGTGCACACCAATATGTGTCCGATTTAGTTTTTTTTGGTTAAACCCTAATAAAAGTGGCAATTCAAGTTAATGCCTGCAACCCATTTGGGTGCACACCAAAACATAACATTTATTATCAATTTTTCTCTTTTTTCGATTGATTTTACAAAATTGCGTCACTGACGCCACTGAACCGTCAGATCTGAAATCAAAAAAAAATATAAAATTAACATACTATACTTACTAGAACTTGAGTACCATCTCTTTAGAATTTTTCTTACAAGACTTTAGTTTTCTCTAATCAAATAGTAAAGTCTTCGAGCTACAGCTCTCAGACTCTTTTTAGATTATTAATGACAAAATTATGTATTGATAAACTGATAACAAAAACACTCACAATTTAGATTAATTAAAAATAGTCGGTTATATTTCAAGGTCTTGTTATATTACCCTTGAATATAAATACCTTTTTTTTTCTCCTTGTGCTTTTTCAAGCATCTGAATTCACATAAATAATCATAATGAAGAATGTTACAGCCTATACAGTGTTTAAATTATTACTACTTTTAAATTGTCTCAACATAAGCCAACCTCAAACATTTTTTAATTTTCATTTCCAAACCACAAACCACAACTTGATTGTAAAATGTCCAGCTCTGCATTTATACATACCAAATTTAATGCATATTTAATTGTGATAATTAAGTAGAAAATAAATTAATATTTAAATGTTTAACCAAACTGCCAAAGTCCTTTTGTCGGTGCGTCTTAAACTTGAAACACGTTTTTAATCAGATGATTGGTAGGTCCAATATAACTTTCAACAGTAGTTCGTTTCTTCAAATAAAAGCGAAACGCGCCAATAAATTTTAACTAAGTTAATTTTTATTTGACATATCCACTTTGGAAAAAGTGTTAAGCGTTATTGATTTTATGATATCTGGCTCTTGGAATTTGTTGATCGGGTAGCAAAATTTATTCAATTTAATGTGATGATCTTCAAGAATGTTTAATTTTAGATTCGTAATTGTTGGTCTAAAATATTTTTTTCGGCAAAAACATAGCCAACCAAATTAAATAAATACAACTATGTGTCGGCATACAAGCAAAACATACTAAGTCAGATTTGATGTAAAATCCATTATGTCACTTTATCTATCTTCTATATTATTAATATATTTATATATGTTGGGTTTCCCAAGGTAGGATGGAATTATTAAAAATACTAAGTACAATTTAAAAATACACCACGTTCACAAGGTCGTCACGACTGTCACACACGAGAATTATGAAGATGGAGGAAACAGGAAACAACAATGACAATTATTGACAATATAACATTGCCAGAATAATCCGAAAAACTAACGTAATTATGACGAATTCTAAGTGACGTCTATTCTGTGTCATCAATGCGACATCAAATACACGTTACTGATTAGAATATTGTATTTCGAGTAAATTAATACTAAAAAATTATGTTAAAATGACGAGTCTGTATTGACGTCTAATTAACGTTGCAAAAACGACGTCAAAGTAACGTCATTAATTGGGATAGTGACGTTTCTGACGAGTACACCCAAAAAATTACGTCATAATGACGACACCTTGCTGCTTGGGCCACGACCATTTGTGATACGTTTGGACTGTCACGTGATTTCAACGAAAGGTCGTCACTACCCATTGGGTGGCGGCGTATGACGTTTTCAGTTTTGTTTGGACGTTATTAGAAGTAAGATGAAAAAATAGAAAATTAATTTTTTCTACACCCACATGGATATTAGCTTATCTACTCACAGATTACAAAACGAAAGAGTATGCACCCAGACAGCAGACTGTCATTATGACATCTTATTTTCGTCATACAGGACGTCATTTATCCTCTAAAAACTAACGTGATAATGACGGTAAAATGACGTGAATATGTCACAGCCCAAAAGACGTCATATTTAGACGTTCTTTTCACGTCTTTATGACGTTTCCTAGTAGTCTTTATAACGTCCTTATGACATTGTTTTAATATCATCTTTGTCGTTATTTAAGACGTCACCATGACGTTATATTTGATATTGTTACTCCTTTGTAACTTTTCTATAGGAACTGTGGGTCACTTAATAAAACGAAATTAGAAAATTAAATAATTATAATTAAAAAGATAAAACAGTTTAAATACATAAAATGTCATTGGCAAAAGACATTAATTTATATAAATACAACTGCTCCAAATGTGGTCAACTTGTTCGTTATTATTTTGGCTTGGTCACAATTATGAAGACTACGGACACATTTAATTTCTAATGCTTTTTCTATTACTATTTCACAAACCGGGGAACATTTTAGGAAACAGCCTATGAATGTAATAGATATAAAAGCATTAAAGAATAAGGAAAATATAGATACATACCTTATGCTGGGTTGATATTGACCTTCTCTGAACTTTTAACGACAATCCTGATTGAAAAGAAAACACTAGAATGTAGCCGAAAAAGAATCGTGCAGCGTGATAAACACTAAAAAGTAGTCGCTGCAAAAAAGAGGTAAGTATATATAATAATAATAATAATAATAATAATAATAATAATTAATAATAATAATAATAATAATAATATTAATAATAATAATAATAATAATAATAATAATAATAATAATAATAATAATAATAATAATAATAATAATAATAATAATAATAATAATAATAATAATAATAATAATAATAATAATAATAATAATAATTAATAATAATAATAATAATAATAATAATAATATTAATAATAATAATAATAATAATAATAATATTAATAATAATAATAATAATAATAATAATAATAATAATAATAATAATAATAATAATAATAATAATAATAATAATAATAATAATAATAAATAATAATAATAATAATAATAATAATAATAATAATAATAATAATAATAATAATAATAATAATAATAATAATAATAATAATAATAATAATAATAATAATAATAATAATAATAATAATAATAATAATAATAATAATAATAATAATAATAATAATAATAATAATAATAATAATAATAATAATAATAATAATAATAATAATAATAATAATAATAATAATAATAATAATAATAATAATAATAATAATAATAATAATAATAATAATAATAATAATAATAATAATAATAATAATAATAATAATATTAATAATAATAATAATATTAATAATAATAATAATAATAATAATAATAATAATAATAATAATAATAATAATAATAATAATAATAATAATAATATTAATAATAATAATAATAATAATAATAATAATAATAATAATAATAATAATAATAATAATAATAATAATAATAATAATAATAATAATAATACTCATACTCATAATGTTTATTGACCTTTAAGATGTACAAAATTGGGTACATTTATAGTCAGTGGAATTCTTACATAGCTAAAAAAATATATTGTAAATCAAAAGTTAGTAAGTATTACATATTGTGTATAATGGTAAAGTAAAATGGTAAAATAAAATATTAAAATGAATAAAATTTAACAAACAGACATACGGACTAGGTATAAAACGTTAACATAAAAATAAAATATAAGGAGTTACAGGAACTTAATAGGATATTTTTGTGAACATTGATTAGTGATTATCTTATTAGTGATTTAAGAACTCGTTTATGGAATAAAAACAATGTTCTAGCAAGTAAGTATTTGCAAATTTTGAAAATGTAAAGTTTCCCATATTTTTAAAATCTTTGTCTTTAAATTTATTAACAAATAGATTATATATGTTTACATCGATTTTGTTATTTTTTGTTGTTGCGAGTCTTGAGTACTGAGGTATCATGTTATGTGCATATCGTGTTTCATATTCATGCATATCGGAGTGTAATAAATAAGATGTTTTATTATTATGTATTTCTAACAGTGTCTCATAAATGTACATCGTGGGCAATGGCATTACATTAAGTTTTTTAAATAGTGGGCGACAGTGAGTTCCAAAAGGAACTCTGGCCAAGATACGTATTGCTTTTTTTTGTATACTGAATGCCCTACATGAATGCGTGGAATTTCCCCAAAGCAATATCGCGTATTTTAGGAGACTGTGTATTAGGGAGAAATACACCGATTTTAATACCTCAGTGCTCAAACAACTTCTTAGTCTTCTCATTACAAATATTTGGGAAGCCAAGTTTCTGCACACTTTATTTATATGCGGTTTCCAGTTTAAAATCGAATCCAAGTCAACTCCCAGAAGGCAAACAGGATTTGATTGTGTAGCCCACTTGTCCACATTAAAAGTAATATACTGAGTTTTTGACTCATTAAGACTAAGACAATTACTGGAAAACCAGTTTTTAGCTTTTTTGTACTCCCGCTCAAGATCAAAATCCTTGCTATCCGACATGATGGTGGTATCATCAGCAAACAAGATGCAATTGCCGTCCAAAGCTGCTGGTAGATCATTTATGTAGATAATAAATAGAATAGGGCCCAAGACAGATCCTTGTGGAACCCCATTACGAACTGACATTAAATTGGAATTAATATTATTTGCACTGACACATTGCATCCGGTTCGTGAGATAAGAACTGATTAGTGCTAATTGTTTGCCTCGAACTCCATAGAATTCTAATTTTTCTAACAGTATCTCAGTCGAAACGCAATCAAAAGCTTTTGATAGATCACACATGATAGCGGTCGAGATGAGTTTATTATCCATATTTTCTGATATTTTTTGCACTAGATTAACCAGTGCTTTCACGGTAGATTTATTTTTACGGAACCCATATTGGGAGTCTGATAGTAAGGATTTGCTCTCAAAATAAGAAACTAGCTTATCCTTGATTATTATTTCTAATATTTTGCCTATTGCAGGTACGATAGCAATAGGTCTGTAGTTATCTGGTTCATCCCTATCGCCTTTCTTATGAACCGGAATAATTTTAGATACCTTCAGGGCATCAGGCCATGTACCTTCCTCTAGACACTTGTTGAACAAAGTCGTGAGACCTGGTGTTAATAACTCGATCGAAGCTTTTAACATCTTACTACATATATTATAATAATCCATACTTGGTGAATTTTTTAGTTTTAATATCGCTTGCTTAACATCGCTTTCTATGATGGCAGTCATGAAAAAAGAACACGTAGGTTTTGGTATTGTGTGCAAAAATTGTTTAGGACTCACATTATTGTTTTTAATAGTACTAATTATGCCATCTGCAACTGATGTAAAAAATACATTGTACTCATCAGATGTGATAGAGGATACAGTTTTTGTTTTATTAATATTGCCTCTTTCAGAGTTTATAATCTTCCAACTAGATTTAGCTTTGTTGTTTGACGTTTCTATCGTATTTGCATAGGACTTTCTTTTTTCTGATCTTAATGATTGTCTGTATTTATCTTTTACATGTATGTAGTGGTCCCAATCAGTTCTTGAATTTGTTCTTTTAAATATGTTTTTTGCTTGAAATGTTTGCCTCCTAAGTTTGCGTAGATTCGAATTAAACCAAGAAATTTTATTTTTATTAGTTCTGTTATATTTTACAGGAAAACAGTTATTTATTTCTTTAGCAAGTATATTAAGTAACTGGTCTGTCAGGTCATTGCTATCTAATGTATCTATTTCACCAAATTTTAATTCAATGTCTTTAAGATTTGCAGTAAATCTTTCAATATTTTTTTTTGAAATAATTCTCCTTTGTTCAAGTACATTTTCATTAATGTTTAAATTATTAGACAAATTAATTTTAATAAATTGTGCCAGATGATCTGACAGATCAGGATCACATACTCCAGAATTAAATAACTTAGGGTTAACATTTGTAACTATGTTATCTAACTTACTCTTTTTCGTAGCAGAGATCCTGGTAGGTTCTGTAATACAATAGAATAAACCATATGAATCCAAAATATTGTTCAACTCGCTAACATGTCCATTTTCAGAATTTGTGAAATCAATATTATAATCACCAAGTAAACAAATATTTTTGTATCTACTAATTAAAAAATCGATAAGCATTTCAAATTGCCTAATAAAAATATTTATATTACCAGAGGTACTAGATCTATACAAAGTTACTACTACAGTATTCGAATTAACTACTTCAGTTGCGCAAAATTCTGCGTGAATAGGTATACTGAAATTTTGTACATTTAAATTTTTAAATTTTAACACATTCTTTACAAATATTGCCACACCACCGTGTGCATTATTTTCTGAACGGCAGAAATCTGATGTCAAAACATAGTTACAAATGTTGACCATACTTAAGCTTTGTCTATCAAGCCAGTGTTCAGAGATGCACACAATATCATAATCATTATATTCTAGATATATACGGAGCTCATCTAATTTGCTATTTAAGCTACAAATATTTAAATGCAAAAGTGAAACTAATTTTTCGTTTTTTATACTATTTTCAGAACTCTCTGACACCTTCTTGATTGATATGTTGTTTTTCGTTTCCATAGAATTGTCTAGGACGAAAAAAATGATTTAGTACCACGTAACTAGGCCACACTTCACTGTTAAGAATTTTGTCCGATTCGTCTGATGGTACCGTAATTTTGACTGATGAATAAACTTCCGGTTGTCTCGAATTAAGTTTTTGTACTTGAATATTTGGTGCAAATTTTTTCAAGTAGTCTGACAATTTGGCAGTGTCGATTTCTGGTTCAAGGTTGGTGACATGGTAGTGTTTTTCATTGCTAATATGCCGACGAGCTGCTTTAAAAGGAAAGTTTGTAGAATTTTCATTTTTTCCTATTAGGATACTCCTTCTCGTCATAGGCGTAGGGCGCTCAAGATTAATAATATCCTGGCATATCTGAAGAGATTCTGCTCCATGTACAGCACCAGCGACTGATTTACTAGTTATTTGGTGTTGATTCGTCGACTGTCTTTTTTGGTATGACTCCATTAAATTATTTCCATTATCAACTAACTGATTGCTATTCTTAACATGTAAATTATTAGTATTCATGACAGGAATAGTGTGCTTATGTGTAGATGCAGATATCTTGGGTGATACTGTAGTTTGAGACGCCACTTGTTTCATAAGTATTATTTGGTCTTTTAGCGCTTGGATTGTCTGATCTTGCTGCTTTATAATTATTTCTTTTTGTTTCATAATTTCTTCAAGATATCTTATCGTTAGTTTGTCTGCAACGCTGGCAGAATTTTCCGGTTGTTCATTCGGACTTGAAGCTGATTCAGAGTCTTTATTACTTGTTTCATTATCAGAACAGCATATAATTGTTCCGTCCTTAAGGTATTTTATATTTCTTAATTGTTTCAAACAACCATTATGATAATAGGAATCACATTTTGAACATTTCGAACATTTGGATATCTCAGTTGGAAACTTACGGCATCTAGCACATTGGTCACTATTCGCAGCTTCTGGGTTATTTTTAGTCATGATTTTTACCGTTAAATCTATTGTAATACACAAATACTTAAGCCAAATTAGCAAGATAAACGAATGTTCAGTTAAAATTTCGAATAAATTTAACACAGATTGTATGCCGTGGTGGAATGAACCTAGGTAGTCGATGTAAATAAAGCAAAAACTACAGTTTTTATACTAGGCACTCTGGGCAAACGAAGGTAAATTAATGCTTTTCTCCTTAATTAGATGATAAAAAGTGTTGCAAACACTTACGTGAGTTTAATATACACTTATAATTAGAATCACATGTACAAACAAAATTAATTTTGGTTAAAACTCAAGTTTTATGCACAACACGTTCACAGTTTAAAATTACACCTTACTTGGCCAACAAACCATTCCACTATGACAAACCATTCCACTATGGATAATAATAATAATAATAATAATAATAATAATAATAATAATAATAATAATAATAATAATAATAATAATAATAATAATAATAATATTAATAGAATAGAATAGCGTTTATTGACCAGTTACATACTAGATAGTACATTTATAGTCCTTATAATATAGAAAAAATTTAAAATAATAAAGATACAATATGTAGAATACAAGTAGAAACATGAAAATAAAATAGTATAACAGATAAATGTAAAAATGTGTAAATGTAAACATGTCAAAAAGTAAAAATGTAGAAATGGTAAAATGTAAAATCTTAAAATGTAGAACGTTTAAATATAAAAATCTTAAAACGTAAAAACACAAAAATCCTAAAAAATATGAGCATAAAATACAATACACAGAGGGTAAAACAGTATATTAAACATTTAGGTAAAATTTAAAAATTCTTCTACAGAATAGAAACAATGTTCTAATAAGAAGTTCTTAGATAATGTATAGAATGAGTTAAATTTCATCGTTTTGATATTTTTACCCTTGAATATATTGTTTAATTTGTTAAAAAAATTTATATGTAATTTGTTGTAATAATAATAATAATAATAATAATAATAATAATAATAATAATAATAATAATAATAATAATAATAATAATAATAATAATAATAATAATAATAATAATAATAATAATAATAATAATAATAATAATAATAATAATAATAATAATAATAATAATAATAATAATAATAATAATAATAATAATAATAATAATAATAATAATAATAATAATAATAATAATAATAATAATAATAATAATAATAATAATAATAATAATAATAATAATAATAATAATAATAATAATAATAATAATAATAATAATAATAATAATAATAATAATAATAATAATAATAATAATAATAATAATAATAATAATAATAATAATAATAATAATAATAATAATAATAATAATAATAATAATAATAATAATAATAATAATAATAATAATAATAATAATAATAATAATAAATATTAATAATAATAATAATAATAATAATAATAATAATAATAATAATAATAATAATAATAATAATAATAATAATAATAATAATAATAATAATAATAATAATAATAATAATAATAATAATAATAATAATGATAATGATAATGATAATAATAATAATAATAATAATAATAATAATAATAATAATAATAATAATAATAATGATAATAATAATAATAATAATGATAATGATAATGATAATAATAATACTAATAATAATAATAATAATAATAATAATAATAATAATAATAATAATAATAATAATAATAATAATAATAATAATAATAATAATAATAATAATAATAATAATAATAATAATAATAATAATAATAATAATAATAATAATAATAATAATAATAATAATAATAATAATAATAATAATAATAATAATAATAATAATAATAATAATAATAATAATAATAATAATAATAATAATAATAATAATAATAATAATAATAATAATAATAATAATAATAATAATAATAATAATAATAATAATAATAATAATAATAATAATAATAATAATAATAATAATAATAATAATAATAATAATAATAATAATAATAATAATAATAATAATATTAATAATAATAATAATAATAATAATAATAATAATAATAATAATAATAATAATAATAATAATAATAATAATAATAATAATAATAATAATAATAATAATAATAATAATAATAATAATAATAATAATAATAATAATAATAATAATAATAATAATAATAATAATAATAATAATAATAATAATAATAATAATAATAATAATAATAATAATAATAATAATAATAATAATAATAATAATAATAATATTAATAATAATAATAATAATAATAATAATAATAATAATAATAATAATAATAATAATAATAATAATAATAATAATAATAATAATAATAATAATAATAATAATAATAATAATAATAATAATAATAATAATAATAATAATAATAATAATAATAATAATAATAATAATAATAATAATAATAATAATAATAATAATAATAATAATAATAATAATAATAATAATAATAATAATAATAATAATAATAATAATAATAATAATAATAATACAATACAACAATACATTTATTGACCCATTTGATACACAATACAGTATTTGGAGTCCATATAAACTTAAATTAAAAGCTAAAATTTAGGAATTCCTCCACAGAATAAAAACAGTTTTCCACGAGGAAGTTTTTAGCTAACGTGTGGAATTTTCTGGAGGATAATCCCTGGATGTTTATTTCTGGAAATAAGCTATCAAATTTATTGTAGAGCCTTATGTCTAACTTATTTAAATGTGTTAGCTGTATACGGCTATAAGAAGTCACCAGATTATCCGCTCCTCGTGTGTTATAATGATGTACCTCGGAGTGTCTTACATATTTATTCAAATTTTTATGAATTAGAATGAGTGACTCAAAAATAAATATACAAGGAAGCGGATGAATATGGTACTTCTTGAACAGTTCTTTGCAGCTTGCTTTATATTGAGCACCATCCACAATGCGCACAGCAGACTTTTGCATATAAAAGACCCTGTGAGCACTGCTGGAGTGTCCCCATAGTGTAATGCCGTAGGACAAATGGCTGTGAATAAGCGCGAAATAAATTGTTTTTAGAGTGTTATTTATCTTAATGGCAGAACGCAATTGTCTCATTACAAAGAGTTGAGAAGAGAGTTTTGAACATAGAGTGTCTGTATGATTGTGCCAGGTAAGTCTTGTATCTAATGTAATTCCTAATAACTTTACTGGTTCAGATTTAATTGCTAATTTGTCAGAACTAAACAAAATTTGTTGTGTTTTGCTTTCATTCATCTTTAATTTATTTGCGGCAAACCAATCTTTAGTCATGCAAAGACTTTCTTTGCTCAGTCTCTCGTTCCCTCTAGTAAGAATCGTGGTATCATCAGCAAATATTCTGAATGAGCTTAAGTTGTCGACAGCCCTAGGTAGATCATTTACGTATAATAGAAATAATATCGGGCCCAGTATCGAACCCTGAGGCACCCCATTGCATACTGTGGTTAGGCTAGATATTTGGTTGTTTAGACTTACATATTGCTTTCTGTCATTTAGATAAGAGTGAAACAATTCCAATACTACTCCCCGAATACCATAGAATTCTAATTTTTGTTCTAAAATAATTACGTTAACACAGTCGAATGCCTTGGTCAAGTCGCACATTACAGCATATGTTTCTGCTCCTTGATCAATGCCCTCCACTATGTTATCGATAACACTAATCAATGCTGATGTTGTAGATTTCTTTTTTTGAAATCCAAACTGCTCGGGGATAAGTATTGATCTAGTTTCTAAGTACGCGCTGAGTTTATCTTTAATTAACTTTTCCAGAACTTTCGAGATGACTGGCATCACAGCTATAGGCCTATAATTGTCAAGAACATCAGTAGGTCCCTTTTTATGAACGGGGACAATCTTTGATACCTTCAGCTGTTGCGGCCAATCACCTTCGCTTATACACTTATTATACATATTTGTAAGTGGCTGTGCCAATGAGTTGAGAGATGCTTTGAGAATCGTAGCGTTCATCCCGTAGTAGTCAAGTCCGGGTTTGTTTCGCAAGGAGAGTACTGCTTCACGCACATCGGATTCAATGAAAGGAGCCATGAAGAAGGAATGAGGTGACCTAGGAAGACCATTTAGAAATGATAAGGGATCAATGTTTGGATCGACAATTTCACTAATTATAGTATCAGATACCGATGAAAAAAAACTATTGAATTTATCGGGATCAAATGGAAAATTGTTTTCATATTTATTTTTAACGTTCCTTTCCTTATTAACGATATTCCAAATAGCTTTACTCTTGTTCTCTGCAGTGTTTATTGTTTCCGCGTAGGCATTCCTCTTTCCTTCTTTTAGGTCTCTTTTATATTCCTTACGTTTCGTATGGTAAACTTGCCAGTCTGTTAGACTATTTGAGTTCTTGAATTTTTTCCATAACCTACGCACCTCTTTTCGTGCATCTCTCAAATCCTTGGTAAACCATTTGAATTGTGGTCTTTTGAAGTAAACCGACTTTGTTGGAAAGCAACTTTCTGTGAGTTTTGTTAAATTATTTATTATAAATCCAACCGATTGACTAGCATTGGTGTTTTCCCAATCAAAATCATTCCAACTAATATTACTAGTTTTGTTTACAAATTCTAAAATTGTTTGTTCGTTAACAATCCTTTTTTTATAAGAAATATTGCTTTCCGATGTTGTCGATTTAAACGATAAAAAGACCGCACTATGATCTGAGATGTGCGGTTCACATACACCTGTCCTCATATCGGAATCCCCTAAATTAGTGATAATATTATCAAGGCACGATCTTGTGGTTGAAGTAATTCTTGTTGGTGTGTGAATGACATGTCTCAGACCATAAGTACTGAGCAAATTTCGCAGATCACCAGCGTACTCCGTGCTGCAGTCTAGATTTATATTTATATCACCTAGGATAATTATGTTTTTGTATAAGTTCCAAAGTTCATCAATCAGACCCAGAAACGAGTCTATAAAAGTCCGCATATCACCTT